CGCCTGTCCGTCCATAGAGAACATTTTCCCGGTCACAGTAATTGAAATTCGAATTTGAAGAAAATGTCGAAAACGCTTGCTCGCAAGTTGTAGCAAAATCGACGTGAGGGCGTGTTTCGTGTACAGCATAATCTAAGAACATCTATTGCGAACTTTTACCTTTAGGCTTATACTATAACAACTACTATCGATAGAAGCTACGTGTACTTTAAGTTTTCTATTTTTTAAGATAAATATGTTGGATATAAAAGATTCTATCACTGCTGACTACAACTGTCTCGCTTGCTTTTCGTAAATCTAATTGGTTTCAATTTCTTTCTTTAATTGCTCATTTCTTCTTTCTTTCATTGCATATCTTAATTCAACTCAAGCTCATTCATTCATTTCATTTCATAAATTTTCAACATAAATATAAAGTGAAGTAGCATTAGAAGTTACTTTAACGGTGTAATTATCATATAAAAAAATCTTTTCATAGTTGAACTACGAAAATGTATTGTTTCGGATAATCATCATTTACTGCAACAACTTGAGTAATAAAAATAAAATAAATACTTCATCAACTGGATTACATGAAGTATATTGGATTTAAATCGAATCTCGGATTATTATTAAGGCATAAAATTTTCAAGAATGTAATAAGTTAATAAACAACAAGTAAGAACATTATGGCCGGGAAAGGTCGACCATTAAATATTCTACACCACATCGTATAACACAATTCTTATTTTTATTATAGAACACAAAAATTATATCTTGTTTCTATATCAAGTGACTTGTGGAAAATTAAAATCCTCTAACGCTATGACCATATCATTAGGTTTACACTTTTCGGTCACATCACAAATGAGGGCAGCATATTTCTTATAAATGGTGATATCCGCATTTGGGGGAATGTAGGAGCATGTTACGTTTACGAAGCAAGTAACTGTTTATTGGCAATTTTTGCCGAAATGGCAAAAAATTCAACATCAGGAGGAGCAGGGAATTCAATTGAATAGGACGTGACCGAAGCAGATGTGGTAATTGAAACACCACCACCAGTGCAAATCAATTGATTCGTTCTAAAAACCTGGAAAATTTTTTGACGAAATTAACCAGATTTCAGTGAGAGCTAAACAGTACAAGTCCGCATTCACTGAATTTGGGAAAGTAAAGCGAATTTTTGACTTTAGGGCGCTAACATTTTAGTAAATTAAAGTAAAAGAACGAGTTACCGAATTAGTATTACGAGGTCTACCCCGAAGAATGAATTCCCTTATTAAGTATTCAACTGGCCACAATGGTTTATTTATAAAAATCTCCATGCTTTCAATCCGAACTTACGGTTTAAAAGACGAGATAGCTTTCTGTGAAAATGGAGCCAACTTAGAAATACTAATACGCCTTAAATTAACGAACGGAACTTCTGCAGTAAGAAAACTTTTTCATTTTGCCACGAATATTGCCTTTCTGTGGAGTACTGCCGTCAAGTAGACATCATCGTTATTAGGAACGATACGGTTCACAGAGGGAGAAATTTGAGTTGGGGAGAAGAGAGAGAAAGTGACTACAAATACTTTTGCCGCTCGTGCGACTTGCCGAGCAATGTGAGCAGCGGGCACACCCGCACAGCTAAAGGGGGGAGGCGGATTTGTGATTTTTCTTAATATTCTTTGGAGATGTAGACAGAGAAATCTGAGTGGGCAGGAGATACCCTTGCCATTACTAAGGCGTGTGGCGGCCAAGTAGTATATTTTTACATGTTAAGCCTCTCTTGTTGTATCTGGTAGAGGAAATCGCTAAAAGTTGTATCGGACTTTTCCAAGCACATGCATCCAATCTCCCTGCTCTAAAGAGATCATCTGGGCGAATTTTTAAAAATACTACTACTAAGTAAAAGACATTTTATCGAAAGTATAATATAATCCGTTGATAGGTAGGTATACATTTCTCCCATCTCTTTAACACTTTGTGAATTCGCTTCTAGAAGAATCATTCGTCTAATAAAGCGAGCTACTTTTCTTCCTATTTACGCGTTGCCTAGCAAAATGCTTAAGCGATCGATGCAAACAAATAGTAATATGATGGAGGCGGGTGTGAAAATTGCTTACAGTTAAACACTGTTGTGCTTAATTTGTAAAGTTTCGCTTTGTTTAAGGGAATTTTGTGACGATATGATAAGTTTTTATATCCGATTTTGAGGCAGCCAAAAACGATTTGCAACAATCCAGGCAGGAAACACTGCTTTTTAGAAAACCCAAATCAAAGTATATTCGTACAATTTGGTCCACAAAAAAATATATGCATAGTTACGTACACGAGAGGAGAGATTGTCGCAGCTAGAAGAACGAAAATCAAACCATGCCGTAATGTGAAATGTTTTATTGGGTTGAATCAGGTCTGATGTACAACGTGATAAGTCTTTTGATAAGTATTTTTATTGAACACTGTATACAGATGTATACATATGCATATGTACACGCCATGTTGACTTGTTATAATGGTTTCACTGGGAAAAGGCGGCGTAAGGCTATGGAGGGCGATAAATGTCTAATCTCGAAAAGATATATGGCAGAGCACAATAAGGGAACAACGTGGCGGACGACTACCTCTACAATATATTCTCCAATAGATTTCATTCTAATTTCATTTTAAGGTTTCTTTAAATGATCTGTGATGTCATTTATGCTATCCTTTGATGTGACGAAATGTGGCGGCATTGAACAAGCGCTAATGAAATTGCCTTGCAAAGAAAGGAAGCATTTTAAAACTGGTTAAATAAGGTTTTCATGTAAGAATTCCGGATACTTTTTACACGGAATATAAATGATATTGCATAGCATATTCATTTTTAATTCCGATTCGTTTCTTTATGATGTTTTTATATAAATTTAAAAGTTATTGAATTTTATGTTAAATTGCCTTCAATTTCTAAGATTTTATATCGTTTTATAATAACAGGTAGGATAATTATATTCGATTGCGACCGAATCTATTATACCTATCACAGTTATCCTATGGAAGATGCAAAAAAAAAAAAAAAAAAAAAAATGAAAAGTAGAAAATATAAATTCGATGGGAGTGGCTGATTTTTTCTATATTTGGAAAATAATTTTGTAGAACTTTACATAGTCTTACTTTGTAGTTTGTGGGCAAGGAGCAAAAGCTTATGACCAATGAAAGCGAAGAGGTTCTCACTTTTGGTTGTATAGACGTTTGCAAATTTGTGAGCGATATTTTCTTTTTTGAAAAAGCGTACTGGAGATACCATATAGTTGGACAGCCGGACAAATTAACAAGCGGATATTTTTACGTGCATTCCGAGCGTAAAAGTGAACGAGAATTTCTATATATTATGGGGTTTTCAATGTTTCCTTCTCCGCGATATAAAAGTACAGAAAAAAAAAATCAAATTTTGATGCATTAAAGTACTGAGTACACGTGTTTTATTATTCCCCACTACCAGCACTACAGCATCGCCCATATAATATACGTTAAAATTGTTGTAGATTTTGCTGCATTAGTTTATGAGTAGTGAGCAAATAAACAATTATTTATTACGCTTGAAATATAGAGATGGTGCTATGGGTGTGTCCTTCTACCGATTTGGTCCATTTGCAATACCAATCTGCATGCAAGAACTTTCAATGCTCCTGCCAAATTTGAAGTCCAGAGCTGCATTTTTGCGAACAGAAGAATGTTTATAACAGACTTCAAACAGACGGACAGACGGACACGCTTAAAACGATTTCGAATTTGATGCTGACCGTTGAGTTTCTGAAGCTTCCTTCTGAGCGTTGCAAACGTTTTGCCAACATGCATATGTCCCTCATCCTTCGGTGATGAAAACAACAAAATTCCAATATTTTCCTTTGAATATTTAAGAAAAATAAAAAAAAATGGCTATGATATATTTATGGATATTATAATGGGATGCTAAGAAATGAAAGGAAACTCAATTTTATTTTCCATTAATTTGCATAAGCTCTTAAATTATGATTTTATCAGCTTCAATGACTACCTAACAAGGTATATGTTATTAGTATTTTCTCATTTCGACTTCAATCGCATGCAATCCATTGAAAAGTAGGAGAGAGAGAGAGAGAGAGAGAGAGAGAGAGAAAAAAGGTGAAAGCACATACATATTTACTTGGGATTTAATACAATACCTTTTGATGTGGTAAACACTTGTAGTTGGCTTGAGGTCGACTTATATTCCCTTGAATATATATTATACTAAAATACCTGATTGGTTTGAAAACGCTATTGAATTTAGATTCACATATTATATTGTAGGCAAGAAATTTACGCCAAAGTTTATGAAACGTATAATAACGACGAATAGGAAGTAATTGTGGGAATTTTCGGACTTTCTAACAATTGTTTTAGTTCAACTGCGGAAATCCTAAGCAATAATGTATTCATATTTAATAGAATAGATGGATAGTTGTTGATGGCGGTCGTTAATTGTGTATATGTTTTTTTTTTTTTTAACGCATATGTGTTTGTTTGTGCGCAATGCATTAAATATTAGAATAATTATTATTTTCAAGTTTCAATATCAACATCGGTCAAAGTCGGGCCCGCATATATGTTATGCGTTAGTAACGTTTCGTATGATATTGATTTTAAAAATCATTCTAAACCACGTCATATGTTGCAATTGATTTTCAATTAATGAGAACGGGCGCCAGTATTTGAATTTTCGAAATTCTTAATTTAAATACGCACAAGTAAGCCCATCTATGCGCGGTGTATGCATAAGTATGTGTTTGTGTGTGTGTATGTGTATGTGTGTTTGTGTGAGCGTGAGAATATATTCAAACATTCTTTAAGAACACCTTTCGGTTATACACACATTTCAAATAAAAGTCATTTAGTGTTAGGACTTAAAGAACTAAATAACATCGTTCCGTAACGAAATTTTCCAATTAATTTCTAAAAAATTTGTTTAATTTATTCATTTTGTTTTTATTTATTTTTATTCATTTTTGTTAAATTCTTTCAAAAAGAGAGAATCGCAACAAAATTTGAATTTTTGAACATTAAAATATTATATAAAGAAAACGAAATATACAAAAAATGTTTAAGCAAAGTTAAGAGAACAACGAAGTCATAAAAAAAAAAAGAAGAAAATTAAATAAAAGAAAATAAAGAAATTTAGTGAACGAGGGAAAAGTAAATAAGTAAAGGTATACTAAAGTTAAATGAATCGTGATATTAACAAAAAAAAAAATTTTGTAAAATAAATCTTGCTTCAAAGGTATACACATGTGAAAGCTATTCTCACTTGCAGCACAATGCTGGCTACGGCTGGCTAAATGATTTACGTCAATCTCATATACATTCGCGCCAAATCCTACATCGATGTTTTTTACATCTTACACCAGTTGTGGTAAAGGGTATATTAAGTGACTAAGTATGTATGGGCGTATGTAACAAGTAGAAGGGCTTAACGTAGACCCACCGTTTATTATATCAATCGATTCAGAATCATAATCTTTAACTGATCTAAGACTGTCTGTCCGCCCGTCCGCCCGTCCGTCTTATGTCTGTGAATTTGAGTTTGTGGTCAAGTTACAAGACGCAATTTTTGGGATATTTTGGACGAACACGGAAGAACACCATTGAAAAGGGTTCGGATCGATTCGTTTTCTCGACCGGTCCACACTTTTGACAAAATTGCAATTTTCAAAATTTCTCAGGGAAAGGGGATAAGCACTAGTGTTTCGGCATTGTAAATTAGCATGAAAACTTTGGACCGACTGCGGTAATTTTTCAATCCCCTTTCAGACAAAGATAACTGGAGTTTATATGGCAAAAACGTGTAATTTTCAATATTTATTGATGAAAATTCACCCGTAGCAGTAATTTCATACACAACTAAGAGCTGTGTTAGACAATGTGATGTAAGGTATTGAATGGTCGTCATTGCCACAATATAATGTTGCTATTTGTTTTTTAACTGGTAACTTATAAACGAAAGTTTAATTTACTGAGAGTACAAATTAATGCTGGACATGGTGCATTAGGCTTTGTTCCAATGATATGTCAAAAGTCATGACATCGTGAGTTTTCAGTATGAAGGAATTCGATTCCATACAGTGCAGTATTAATCGGGTAATTAATTACCCGGTGCTTCGATTTTTGGGCTCTTTTGTGGATAGCTACAAAAGACGAGACCTTTTTCGAGATGCAATTCGCAAATTGCTGAGAAATGGCAAAAATAGTATCTAGCGATGGACCGTACTTACTCTGTTCATTCATTTTCATGTTTACCAATTTTCTCTCAGAAGATATTAATGAAATTTATGTAAATCAATATCATCATATCCGTCTCAATAGCCGTGCGTGTAAGAATCGCGACTGTCTATATAAACAGTTAGTGCTCAGCCAACACTTATCAATTGGACGTACACTCACTGCGCTTAAGTCCACTGCATCCACTGCATTTCTTTCTCTTTCCTCTCTTCTTTGTGACAATCATCGTCTTACACGAGTCAAGTGAAATCCGCTGATTTGTTGCTCATATTAAACAAAAAAAATCTACTGAAGTAACGATAGTCCAGTGATCTTCCCAATATAGATCGGGACCAGGATAAATCAAACGTCAAGGTACCATAATTGTCAGAGATTTCACAAAAGAAGGTTCATTCTACAAAAAAGTAAAAATTGGTCTTATCTTAAAAAACTGTTTCCTCTACCCTTATATGTTACCGATTTGTATAATATATAAACTTGTTTTGCTTCGTGCTTTCTTGAAGCCTTTCCATTCTAATCGGACAGATGTAGCTTAGAATGCGTCATGTTCTTCACTATTACATGTCAGAGTTTTTTAATTAATCATTTTGATAGCGTAACTTCTTCCGGTTCACCACTTTTTGCCCTAATTAGCACCTACAACTTTTCTAGGCTTTTTGACCAGTATGGCTCTTCACGAGATTGAATACTTTATCGCAACGTTTCATCCCGTGGATTCCGTGATGATCACTTATTTATTGTCTACCTATTTTGTAAATACATTTAAAAAGTATGAATTAAAGGCTGCCGGATAACTTAGATCATATGCTTGCCTGTCACGAAGTCTCTACCGCTCTTGGGGTTTGAACCCGTGATCATTGAGTTGTTAGACGCAATCCTTTGTCTACTCGGCCACCCGTACGTACCGAACAGTGATCGTTTTGCTGGGCATAAACTTGCAAGTTGCTACGCTGACAAAAATTGTTATTAGGAAAACCACCACAGATTTTGCCGACGTCCCTGGCTTTTCCTTACTTTATTTTTATACCCGTCACTGAAGCATGTCGGCTATATTCATTTATTCAAAACGTTTGCAACACCCAGAGGGAAGCACTAGAAACTTCACAAAGTATAAAAATTCTTGATCAGCATCAAATTGTGAATCGATTTAAGCATGTCCGTCTGTTCATCTGCCCAACTGTCCGCCTGCACAACTGTGTGACGTCCGTTGTCAACATGCTCCTGGCCGCAAAAATGCAGCTATTGACTTAAAATTTGGCAGAAACAATGGAAGTTCTTGCACAAACGAAGTACACGCCCTCAGCACCATGAAAACTGAGAACACATCTGTTTTTCAGTAGAGATAAAAAATTGGTTTTTGGCTCATTGTTCATAAACTATAACGGATCAAATTTATAAAAACTTGAAAACACATTCTATGGACGATGCTGTAGCACCTGAACAAAAGTGGAAAAAGTGGGCCACGCCTACCCAATATGATAATGTGACACAAAATCAGCTTCAAAAACCCCATAAAATATATAAATTCTTGCCCAGTTTCTAATTTGGAATGCAGCTAAACCCGTCCGTCTGTTGCCCCTATCTGTCTGCGCAACTCTAATATTATTTGTGGTAAACATTCTCCCGTTAGCGAAAGTGACAGTATCGCCAACAAATTTACAAAACAATTTGGAAATGACTTAAACTTTTCCAGGGGCACGCATAAGAAATCAGCTGCGTCAGCAGCTCGATATCATAGAGCATGAAAGTTTAGTTCTTTGACTTTTTTTCTTTTTTTTAAGGTAAAGATGATGGGTATAAAAGATTCGGTCACAATCAAACATAATTCTTTCTTACTACTTTTATATAATATGTAATATATGTGTTGAAGAAAAATATTTGTGGCATTTTTTCATCAAGAAGCAAAAGCAATTTCTATGTATTTTAGATTAATTTTATTACACAACATAAATGTCAATATTGATCGCTATACATTTGGCCGTTTTTGACGTGAAACCATTATGGCATTACTGTAGGATTTCTAGGATATCTGAGGGAAAACTGAGACACGTAATTTTTCCAAACTTCTTTTAAAAGTGATTTCATACCATTAAGAGAATTGTGCAAAAAGTGTAAAAGTGCAAATGGGAGGGACATGTCTTGGGTTACAGGATGAATTCATGAAATCGGCGCAGTTAAGCTCTTTTATAAATATAAGTTTCTGCGGAGTAATAGAGTGCTGGAAGACAATGCTTTTCTATATCGACCTTTTCTGGAACTTAATTTACCTTGGATGCGCCCTTTAATCACATCTTTGTTAGCAGTAGAGAGTAGAATAATTCGGGTGGCCAAGTTAAAGCCACACGATTCCGTTTACGTTACTTTACGTCGCCCCTAGCTTTGGTATCATTCGTATAGCTTTGTCGACCTTGAACTTCGGCCTATTTTGCAAATTATTTTTATACGTTACTCGCGTTTCTTCGCCCGTTACCTCAATGGCTCAATTTCACTTGTTTTCTAAAAGGACCCGTAGATGGATATTCACTTTATTAGATATCATACAGTAAGTTTATAAAAGATTCAAAATTCTCTTTACTTGTTCTTCTTCTTTCTGAATTCAACTTTATGCAAGCATGCTTTTGGTAAATGTTTAGTTTAGCAATGAAATCTTAAGTTCAGATGGGTCCCGAGTCCTTACTTGCATGAAGCATTTCATCCACCTGATCAATGACTGGCCGCCCAGACCATTACACGCCTTCGACAAGAAAACTTCTAGAACGAAATTTGCATTTGCGCGCTATTTCTGACAAGCACCAAATTATCCTAAATGATTGGCCGTTAAAATGGTAAGTAAGAACGTTACAGTTGGACAAGGCTGAACATTGGATACCCTGCACCACTTCACCTAGTAAAGTTGTTCACTCGTGTTAGTAAAAAATACCACATTATTTTTATGTCAAGGCGTTCATGAAAGCACGCGTATTGGCGAGTGCCCAAAACATCGCGTGACATGATCAAAATTTATCAAATTTAATTTACTTCAACAATATTTTATTATTTTTTCGTTGCCGTCCTAAAAAACTAGAAATCAAACTTTCTCTTCACACAAGGGCTTGCTTAAGGTCAAAAAAAAAAGACTTGTATTATTCAAACTCCGCACCGTCAATTTTTTTGCTCAATCGCTACTATCGGCTGATTTGCATCATGAACTATTAAAAATTAAATCCTTTCCTGAAATCCATATAAGGGGTAGGGTTCACGAACAAGACCCACACGGTTCAAATTTGATGCACGTAATTTTTACGTCCAATTGTTGTCATGAATAAACTTTCATCATAAAACATCAACAATTAGGCCTTGTTGACATATCCTAAGAATCCTTATGCAGTAATAACCTAAAAATAGACTCACTTGGTGCAAATTTGATAAGGTTGGTTTCTTTGCCAATTTACGCATATGAACCAATTCTTACCATGAAATAACTAAAATTAGGTCCCATTCGTATGGATGGTTGGATTAGAGTGATTCAATTGCCCCATCCAACTTTTCACAACAATTTAAAATACCGACATGCTATTATCTGGCAATTTTTGTCGCGACATTTAAAATATCGCAATTTTTTTCCATATAACTATTTTTGAAAATAGGCCGTCATATGAGGAGTGATCGAAAAAGTGCATCGATGCAAACTATTTTTAATGGCGTTCGTAACAACTTTCGTCAGAATATCTCAAAAATTGTGATCTGTAGTATGAACACAAAATTGCATGAACAGAGATCACACGTACATGCAGACAGACAAGCTTAGATCGATTCTTAGATCGAAAACTATGACCTGCAGCTGGAACACAAAAATGCATAGATAGACGGTCAGGCGAACAGAGAGAAATGATTCTGATAGATCGGCATAATAAAAAGTGATCCTATCTTAAACTCTACTAGGTATTATATATGTCCCTGCAAGCTTAAAATACCCTGATCCATAAGTATCCTGCATGGATTGGATTCTGCTACGCAACACTGTCCCTTCACATGATGAGCTACGCTTTTATGTTTATTTCTATTACGAAAGAAAGCATTTTTACGAAAGTCGTCCAAAGAGACGAATTGCTTGCATAGTGAATCTCAAATGTTATTAGAACGTAGAAAAAAAGTAGAGAAAGTAAGTTTGGACAATGTTTTGCTGATGACACTTTTTTCCCTTTTTTTTTTTTTTAAACAAGAAATCCCTTAAAATGAAGGGGAAACTTTATTGTCAAATTATCTCAATTGAATATCTGACGTACCGGAAGAATATTATCGAGAAAACTAAAAAGAGAATATGCGTATATCCTTGAATGGCAAGCTATTATCATATATATATAAACAACACTATATATATATATATATAAGAAATTTTAAAACTCTCTTTTTTAACAAACTTTACAATATATTTCAGCAATGGCTACCGATTTACAGCCAGGAAAATATGTTGGACTTGTTGCCGACCTTATGCCCAACATCAAATTGATGAAATTTTCGGGTTTATTTATGCATGCGTTCACTAGCGGGTCGGCACTTGGGAAAAAAATCTATTCATCCATACATCTCGCTTTAATTGTATTACAATTTTTATCGATATTGGTCAATATGGCCTTGAATGCGGATGAAGTCAATGAATTATCTGGTAATACTATTACAGTTCTCTTCTTTACACACAGCATTACAAAGTTTATTTACTTGGCCTGCAGTCAGAAAAATTTTTATCGGTAAATATGTTGGTGTCGGTTGGGGGAAGTCAAGCGAACTAATTATATAAATTTTGCTTTTGTTGTTGTCTTTTTTTTTTTTTTTTATTCTTTGGCTTTCTTTGGATATTATAGAACTATTAGTATATGGAATCAAGTCAATACGCATCCTTTGTTCGCTGAATCCGATGCACGTTATCATTCAATTGCTTTAGCGAAAATGCGTAAATTATTCTTCTTAGTAATGCTTACTACAGTTGCATCAGCTGTAGGTATGTAAATGTAAACGAAATGCCCGCCTACATAAATAAAAATCGAATTATAATGAATTTTGCAGCGTGGGTTACTCTAACATTTTTTGGTGAAAGTGTTAAATTTGCTGTTGATAAGGAGAATAATTCCACCATAACTGTGGAGATACCCCGTTTACCAATTAAATCTTTTTACCCTTGGGATGCCAGCAGCGGAATATCGTATATCATATCCTTTATCTATCAAGCGTACTTTATACTGTTCGCTCTATCTCATGCAAATTTATGCGATATATTATTCTGTTCATGGTTAATATTCGCTTGTGAGCAATTGCAACATCTAAAGAGTATTATGAAACCATTAATGGAATTATCCGCCTCATTGGATACGTTTCGTCCCGATTCTGGAGCTCTATTTCGTTCATTGTCAGCACATTCCAAGGCCGAATTGATTGAAAATGAAGGTGAATTCTTAGTAAATGCATTTTAATTGTTTAACATCTATAAGAGTATAAATGCATGCTTGCATATATGTGTATGTGTACGTATGTATGTATGTTTCTCGTCGTAGAAAAAGAACCACCTTCAAGCAACGGTTTAGATTTGTCGGGCATTTATAGCAGCAAAGCGGATTGGGGCGCTCAGTTTCGTGCCCCCTCGACCCTACAAACGTTTAACAATAACAATCCGAATGGTTTAACTAAAAAACAAGAAATGATGGTACGCAGCGCCATTAAATATTGGGTGGAACGGCACAAACATGTTGTAAGGTAAGTAGAAAACGGTAAAAACCAAATTCACAATAAAATGTTCAAATAGCTAAAGAAAAAATCCCTATTTCTTTTTATATCATCAGGAGCATATACGAAGATAGTAAATTTTTATAAAATTTCTTGCCATACGAAACTGTAAAATGTAGACTTCATAGGGTGGATTTTTATACTCTACACCAGTTCAGGTATATTAAGTTAGTGTGCGCCTTTGTAACACGCAGAAGCGCTTAACATAGACCCACATTTTATTATATCGATTGTTTCAGAATTATAATCTCAATTGAGTTAAGTCTGTCCATCCATCTGTCCGATGTCTGCCCATGTAAATTTGCGTTCATGCTAAAGCTCGCAACTTTTGAGATATTTTGAGGACAATCGGTGACGTGCTTCGACCCAAGAACAAACACTATTAAAAATGGTCCGGATCGGTCCACTTTTTCGACCACTATGGTATGAAAACTTTGAAGTTCACACGACAGGGAGGTATAATTTTAAATGCTTCATGGTGAAAACTACAATTAACTGTACCAACTCGGCGAATTTTTTGGATCCTATCCTCATAAGGATTTTCACGAATATTGATCCTTTGTAGAGCAGAAAAGTCGAAGTGTTAATATGTACTAATGAAAATTGATCCATAAGTGTAATTTCATAATAAAAACACAAAATTTTGAACAAAATTTTGAACATCTACAAAATTTTGAACATCTACACCTATTTTTGGACACTGCCATATGTAAGGATTAAATTTGTACTACATTAGTTGACATTCTGGGCGCGGTTCGTGCCGCACATGGCAAATATGTCTTTATATCGCAACAAAATATATTATTATTATTATTATTCATTTAGCCACAAAATAAATAGTCTTGAAGCACTAGCACTAGCATTTAAGCCTATCGCGTTTATTGAAAACTCTACCGCCTTGACATTTGAACTTAAGATAGCTGAATAGCTGAGACTTTTTGTCTGCTCGACCCCTCAGGCAAATGAGAAACAACATAAAATTTTTGTTTTCTATAATCAAAATAGGAATTGCGTTTAACCCTGTGGTGTAGGGTATTCAAGAATCGCCCTTGCCCGACTATAATTTTCTTACTTGTTTATTGAACTTCTTTTGCAAAACTTTATGATTTGCATGCTTTCTTTTTTTTTTAATATTTCATGAAATAAAAAGCAATTCAAAGTTTCTTATATACATTGTTTAGATTATTTACCAGAATTTTTAAAATTTTGCATTTCTTCTTGTCAAAAGTTGAATGAAAACAAACTCAAAGCTCATAGTCGATTCCGACTAACCGTTAAAGACCATATACTTGAAAACAACTTAGCAGAGTTTTCTCAATTTACACAATTGAAGCTCGTCTATCTGTCTTGCTAATGTTTGTCTCTCTTGCATGAAATTTGGTCTGCGAATTTCTTATGCAAAAACCATTAGGAAGTTACAGAGAGAACAGACTTTTTGTCGCAAAGAAATGTTCGCAAGTGTTATAAACAGTTCAAAGAAGACCGGGAACGGAGTGGAGACAAGAAACGTCCCGGGCCACCATCAACCTTGACCAATAAAAGTCACGTCAAAGAAATCAAAGATTCGATACTTGAAAACCGACACCTTGGCGCCACCGATGTCATTTCAAACGGCTCAGTCACCAGCATCTTAAAAAATATTGTGGGCCTGACAAGTGTCAAATCTTGGGCATTAGTTCTTTGAAACCACCCTGTTCACTAGCTTTAGCTCAACGTGACTTCCGGCTCTTTTCTAAACCCAAAAGATCACGCGGGCGATAACGTTTTGGTGCTATTGAAGCGATAAAAGCGGAATCGCAAAAAACTTTGAAAACAATTCCGAATCGAACTATTTCGGGCAAAAAAACATTGGTATAAGTGTACAGTATCTGAGGGGGATTAGTTGAAAGCGACGGTATAGATTTGGAATAATGGATATAATAGATCTAATTCGTCTTCATTTTTGATCACAGAGTACATTGTAATGTTTTAGCCCAATGACGAACCCTCGCTTCTTCTTAGCTCCAGTAGTTTATGTCTCATACCAAAAGATTTTATGGATCTTTTTGCATGCCATTGTCCTGCACATTGCTTCCAGCGGCAATCCGATTTCTTATGTGCGGTGCAGAACTTAGCATGATCCCTCGGGTTCCCTGTTGGCTATACAGACAGCTCTTTCGTTATCCTCGACACTCGAATAGTCGGGCACCTACATTGTGCCTGCCTAGCTCATTGAGTTTTTCAAGACACTCCAACACAAGCCTAGAACTTATCATTCGCCCCTTTAAGACTGTTTGACTGTCGGCATAGATGCAGATCCGCTCTCTTCTGCACTGTGTTCTTAAGCATTCAGAGACACATTCGGAGATTGCGTAAACTTCTGCTTGAAATATGGAGGAACTATATCTACATCGATATGACCTTTTAAAAACTCGGGCCACAAACCCCAACCTCAATTTTTCCGTTTTCCAATTTTGAACCATCGGTGTACCAATTTCTTGTCTCCACCCCGTGTTCAAACACTTGCCCGTCCCAACCCGATGTTGATGAACACCGTTGCAGTCAGATTTCTTTGGTCAGGAAAACTGATAATTTATGGTTTCTGGCCCTAAACCTAGTAAAATTACTCACTCGTTTTCTCATTAACACACCAGAAATTACATATTATTTTCATGCAAAGACATGCATTTATGAAAGCCCGCCTATTGGCGGATGCCCAAAGTGTCATATACTGTGATCAAAATTGAACAAACTTAATTTACTTCCTCAAAAATTTTCAAAAGTTTACGTTTTTCTTCAGAGAAAATTAACAATTGGACTTTCTTTCCTTGTAAGGTCTTGTTTTTCGTGATAACTCCTTTATATGTTAGAGCCTAAAAAATGGACCCATGTGATCGAAACATGCTGTCGTTAAGTTCTTACTAATATGAATTAATTTTCATCATAAAATATTAAAAATGAAATCTTGTTCTAAAGGTCTTGCTTTTCCTAAGCAGTCTTATATGGAGTGGTATTCAAGAAATAGATTTATGTGGTTGAAATCTGGTTCGCGTAAAATTACTATAATGAAAAAATTCTCATTATAAAATATTGTCATATAAACCCTTCTTTTTATTAGAAACCTTATATAGTTTGGAATCCAAAAAGTCGATGTATTTGGTCCAAATTCGGTAAAGTTCATTTGGTACTTACGTGTTAACTACATCGCGGCAAAATATTATTATTAAAATATTATTATTAGAAGCCAAGAAAACTTTTTTTAAAAGATTAAAAGTTCATTTTTATGCCGAATTATGGTTATGAACGAATTTCCGGCAAGAAGTATTGAAAATTACACCTTTTTACCGTAGATAGGCTCAGTTTCCGTGGGAACGTTTGTACGACAATGGGCTTGCCCCGAAGGCCTCCCCTTATTACTAGATGGTTTTTGTCATAAGTTTCTAAAAATTACAATACATTTTCTCGTAACGACTTATCAAAATAAGGCGTTATATAAGACGTGGCTGAAAAGGTGGTCCGATACGAACCATTTTCAATAGCATTCGTCACGTCAATGTATCAAATTTTATCAAAATATCTTGAAAATGGCGACAGACAGGCCGAACACAATAATACATGGACATACGGACAGGCAGACAGCCTTAAATCGATTTAGAAAATGATTCTTATTATGTATGAAGAAATCTCAGACAAGCTTTGTTCTCTAAAATTTTCATTAAGAAAAATATTTTCTAATATATTGCAAAACCACTTATATAATAAGCGATGACATTTAACTTGTAAAGAGCTCAAAATATTTCAGTTTATATGGTTGTATGAAGAACCTACGGTAGACCAGTCAACTCAGGATCAATTTTCGATTTGAGTTAAGCCCTGCTTACTTCTGGTGATAAAATTTGGTACACTGAGACAAATATTATTGAGCCAGACCAGTTTTCCCCAATACTTCCCACGTGACGTCTTATTTTGTAAAATAATTAACTGAATAATTAAGGGGTGGTGTAGAGTATTGAGCGATGAGTCGTGGCTTACTGTAGTTTTTTTTTGCCTGGTGGTTCACATTAATACAATAATAATAACAATTTTAATTGCAAGATAAATTTAAATAAATAAATTAAAAAAAACTTTTTTAGAAGTTTTTATCGGAAAATTAAAAAAAAAGATTTCAGTTGCGGAAAAAAATTAAAATCTTTTTTCAAAATAAACTTTTTAAAACAGTTTTAAACTTTTTTTTTTTTAATAATTCTTTAACGCAATTGCTTTGCCGCATTCAACGGCTTATGTGTTTTTAATTTTTTTTTAGATTAGTAGCAGCCATAGGTGACACTTATGGCGTCGCATTATTATTGCATATGTTGACGGCAACTATAAAATTGACGCTATTGGCATACCAAGCGACCAAAATTACGGGCGTTAATGTTTATGCACTCGGTGTCGTCGGTTATTTGGGTTATTCGTTGGCACAAGTGTTTCATTTCTGTATATTTGGCAATCGTCTGATTGAGGAGGTAACGTAGATATATACATGTATGCACTACTTACTTATTAGGTACTTGCATGTATTTTGATCATTTACTCACTTGAAAAAGGTATTTATTGAGCAAAACTGATACATTATATATTAAGTCAAATATTTTCCGTCCGGCAACGTGGAGATATTGTGTCAAAAGAACGATACTGGTTTGGCAATGATTCAATCATCGACCTCTTTTCACACTTCTTCAGGATTTCGAAACCGCATGCCAGCCGAGCCATGCTTCATCACAGCATTATGTATGTATGGGTAAATATATATGTATTCAAGCGTCCACTAAGGCAGAATATGAACCAACAACAACAAGTTAGAAACAGAAAAAGTGACTTACCGGCCATGATGGTGTAATAATTCTGTTAAACAAAACACAACCGTGCGTACTTCACGAGTGGTAATAAGATGTCGCTACGTCTGGTGGGTACGTTGGGTGCAGTAACAATGTATCCTTAACATCTCTTACAACGTGTGGCGGACGTCGCCATGCAAGCGGGTGGCTTTGTGTTTGCTAACCACAACTTCTGCTCAATCGAACGTTGAATTTTTTCAATTGATATCGGTAGACATCCGCAGTAACAATTTCGTTCGTTATTAGCAGCTCGTAACACACTGCAGCTTGCTGATTCAATCGTATGCACAGGAAAACCATATGGCCATGAATATTCCGTTGCGTTGTCGCTGGGGATGGCGATCCTGGATTAACCGTATTTTTTTTCGCTTGGGATTAGCCCGGTGGATCCATTTTTCATTCCCAGTCATAGAGCGCCTTTTGCTTCTTTGCTTGGCAAGCAATGAAACCGTGATATTCGGAATGGCATTTTCCGTTAAATGGTATGGTAGTCATATTCTCCCTTCTTCGATCTGTCCAATTGCTTGAAAATCTCTAGAAACATTTAATTAAGCAAATGCAAAGCTATTCGAAAGCTCCTTGAAAGTTTAAGCTCGTTAAGCGACGAAACGACAATGGGATATGATGGAGGAGCACCACCAGAAGCTTCTAAAACTGTTTGACGGGCTTGACAGTAAATTTGTTCAAATCAAACAACAAAAGTTATGAGTGTCGAAAGTGCTCTTATAAGCATTCCATGATTAGTATCTGTATATATTGAACAAATCAACAATACTAAATGGAAAATTGAAGAAGACAAAACTATGAAGAGAAAAGTTAAAATCGAATTTAACCTTTGTGCACATTCCTACTTTGCATTACTTTATCATTTTCACCAATAGATGTTACTTGTCATACAAATACATGCAAACAATTAATACAATACATTGGTGCATAACTATCAGGCGTTCTTAAACGATTTTATCAGGTATCAGTGCTTATGAACACTATTTGTTAAGGAAAAGTAAACATAAAAATTCAACAGTAATAATATTTAAATGACTAATCCGGAGCGTAGATTCAATAATTGAAGTAAATGGTGGCTTTCCATTTGCTTGGAAGGCGGCCGATTACACGGGTAGAGAATTAACGGTTCCTGAGGGCAATCCATCGATTGACATCGGCGGCTAAATTATTGCGCCTGGTCGCCGAAATCCGAGAGCCGAACTCTTCCTGAGTTATTTAAAACGGGCAAACCATTGCCTGCGAGGACTTTCACTGATTGTGCCCTCACCGAAAACTTCCTTGAGATCGCAAAGTGACTGCGCTACTTCCCTGGAAGACGGTCGATTACATGGGCAAAGAATTCACCCTTATTAGAAGCAATCCAAGCTTTGACGTCCGCCACTAAGTTATTGCGACTGGTTCTCGAAATTCGATGATCGACCTAGTCCTGGCTTATCTTCCAAGCTAGTGTCGCCAGATTTGGAATGGGCAAACCATTCCCTGCATCGACTTTCGCTGATTGTGTCCTCACCGAAAAATTCGTTGAAATCGTGAAGTGACTGCGCTGCTTTCCATCCTTTTCCAAAGTGATACAAGATAATATGAGGAATATGAGTACGATTATCGACAGGCATTTTTATAACCTAAAAGTAATAATAAATTTATAAAATATTGTAAATTTTTGTTAAAATATCTCACGTCAAAGAAACGCCTGATAATTATGCATCAACGCAATATTACATATGCACGATTGCTTCGAAAATATTTTGAAAAGTTAAAAGAAAATTTCGACATATAACACACATTGATGTTTACACTTGCATCTAAGCTAAGATTTAGTTAGGGTAAAATTCTGCATTGACGTCAATATGAACACTTAACAAATTGCATATCTGTGGTCACAGTAGAGTAACAACTAGTTGTTCTGAAAGTTAGTTGAATGGAAAAAGAAGAAAAGTTCTTTTTAATCTGCATTCATTCAACGATACACATAAGTTTCTGATTAATGTGTCATATAGCCTTGAAACATACCAAACATTTTATGACTTTGAGCAACTAATTGCTTCTCGGTTATAGCTAACAGTTTCATGGTCTTATAAATACTGAATAAACGAATGAAAATTTATGTTATACTGTGTTGAGTATCGAAGCATGTCAATTTTTTTTTTTTTTTTTTTTTTTTTTTGTTTGGTGAAGTAGTATTATATTGCTTTATTGTCTTTGGTGTTTTATGATGCTACATAATGAATGTTGTTCTATTTTTTCTTTTTTTTTTTTTATTTTCTTTCGAATTTGATAGAGTTCATCGGTTATGGAGGCGGCTTATTCATGTCATTGGTATGATGGTTCAGAAGAAGCCAAGACATTTGTACAAATCGTTTGTCAACAATGCCAAAAAGCAATGTCCATATCGGGTGCAAAATTCTTTACCGTTTCATTGGATTTGTTTGCTTCGGTATGTCTTTGATGACAAAAAAAATAAAAAATAAATAAGAGTAATAATTATTTAATTACTGAACACAACTTGATGCTTGTATTGTTGCTTGCTATTGCTCAACTGTTAACCAATGTAACACTGATGAAATGACGAGCGAACGCTCGCTTACACATGTAAACAATCTTACATTACATATTCGAGCATAAGGCATAAGCAACAGGACAGTAAAAATCCAGTTTTGTATATATAAACGTATATCAGATACATGTTTGATTGCTTTCTATATATTTATAGGTACTGGGGGCAGTGGTCACATATTTCATGGTGTTGGTGCAACTGAAATAAAGTGATTGCATCTTTTGCTATAAAATTTTCATCATCATCTTTACGTCCATCATCACTGATAACTAAAACCCAATCATGGCGAATGCAATAAAACGTGTATTTCGTTTATTTATATTTCGTATAAAAAAATAAATAAATAAATAAATAAAGTAGAGTAAATATTACATTTTTTTCCCCCTTCGATAATTTAATAGATATCACCACAGATATATATGAGTTGCTTTTAATTTCATCATTGACGATTGTAGGGATGATATGGAAAAGTTTTTTTTTTTTTGTATTATTCAAACACACATATCCAACAAAGTACATTGATATGCTAGCTTTGACGTTAGTTTTAGAACAGCCCTTAAAGGTCCCAGGCCTTAGCAGTTCTTAGAGGTCTTAAGAACTTCAAATAGTTTTTTTTATTGTCATTAAATAAATTTCTCTTCCATTCGGCTCCTCATGTACAAGTATGTAACTTCATCACATTATTTTATTTTTCTGCTTATCGATTCAGAGTCTTTTCTTTTTAAACATTCATCAGGCAAGGATGCATGCTGTTAATTTTTCTGTTTTTTAGTATGCCGAGCTAATGCTTAGGGGCTCTTAGGAAAAGTTTGCAGTGCAAGCGAAGCTGAAAATTTTAAAATACCCATTACCCGTAACGCAGAGAGCAGATACGGCCATACATAACGGTATTACTCTATAGTACTTTTTCAGTTTCAACCAATGCGTCAGGCATTGTACAACGCATTGGTGTACTTTCCCGGCTGCTATCGACCTTAAGGTCGCAGGAACATCTTTCTATCTGATCAATCGCCCGCCCATGCGCTTGCCTACTTCGCTTACTTATATCATCGAGCACCGTGGGATTAACGCCTTCACCGTAGATAACCATCTAAAACATCAAGAGACATCTGCCTCATCGCTGCAAACTCGCTGCGATGGGAACTATCGTACATGGAAAAGCCATCGAGAATATCAGAAGTCACCTGCTCGCATATTTCCTTACTAAACTACTCGGCTTAACTGATATGGAAGTCTAAAGCGTAAAGTTTGCTATGATATTGAGGAGATTAAGGAACAATCAGCCTGGTTGGGCCTCTGGCATTGCTGGCTCTCTGCTTCTACGTGGGCACTGAAAAAGTTGGATGACAGCCTAGGATATGTGGTTACTTCAAATGCAAGAATGACTAAAAATCGAATCGATCTCCGGACGCCCACTCATTATATCGCATGCACCAAGCAATGTATGTATGTTTCAATGCGGAATGGAATGTCGGCGTGGGAGCGAGGAGCACCTCGCAGTTTCCCTACGGAGATTTTTGCAGCCGTATTATCTAATATCACAGCTTTGCTATATGATCTCTAAGCATTGTATGATTGCCCTAAGCGACTGGACGTTCATGTAATCGCTCGCATAAAACTCTATGAAGTTAAGAGTTCCGTCTAATGAAGCCATAACAGCGCTAGTCTAAGGAAAATTCCAAATATATCTGCCTGTTCATTGGGCACATTCGCCACAAGTTTGTCGATCCATTTACTCACATGGTTTCTGACCCATATATTTTTCGATGCATTAACTTCCTCTGCTTTTTACCCGTTCGTGTTCTTCAATTAGTCCATTAATCGGCCCCTCGTTGCCGTTAGCCAGTTCGTCCAGCCCTTTAGTCAAGCAATTGTCCGTGCATTGCCTACTTACTTGTCCATATGCGCAGCACTGGTTTCCCAATTCAAGTTTGAATATCGGTTTACCTGATCAAAAAGAAACGTAAGAAAAAAGTCTTACTCAAACTATGGCAGCCATACGTCTTACACTGAGCAAAGGAGTATTAGTGCCTTGTAAGAAAAGCTCAGCTTCACACCTCAGCTAAGATCGTAGTATAGTTATACTACAGTTCACGATGATAGGAGATATAATATTCGTTTCAATCCAAATAAGATTTTTTTTTTCTAGTTTTGCTTTTGTTAATATTGTCCTTTAGGTTCTTATTTGTTTGCTCTACATTTTTACGTTCGTCTCATTTTATCATGTGGTGTTTTTATAATTTAATTTCAATTTAATTACTCGTCTTTTTTTTTTCTTTTTTTGCTTACACAAGCTTTTATTTGATTTTAATTGTCATCAAGTGAAAAGTCCACAACAGCGGATCCTATATGTAAATATGTATAACGGCGCTTATATATTTGTGTGTGATACCCATAAGTAAGAAAAAAAATTATTTTATAAATATTTTAAATTTAGAAGTTTATGCAAATGGTTATATGAGATCGCTATACACTGAAATGGAAAAAGCTGTAAACTAGTGAAAATTTAATAAACGCTTCGACTAAAAAATATAAAAAGCTTTATATTTTAAACTTATAACGAAATAATATTTTTTTCTCATAAAAAAAATTTTTCCATCGAACTTTTCAGTAAATTCTTTACAAGCAAGTAAGAACTTTATAGACGGGCAAAGCCGACCATTCAATACCCTACAATAAATTGTCTAACACAAATCTTATTATACCCGACGCCACTTGTGATACAGGTATTAAATTAGCGCGATCGTATGTAACACGCAGAAGGGCTCAAGATAGACCCACCTTTTATTAGAACGATCGATCGTCACAGTCATAATCTCAATTGATCTAAGCCTGTCTGTCCGTTTGTCCACCTGTCCGTCTGATGTCCGTCTACGTATATTTGTGTTCAAGCTACAAATCGCAATTTTTGAGATATTTCGACGAACGCTACGAAAAATGGTTTGGATTGATCCACTTTTTCGACCATTCCCCATGAAACGCCCTATTTTGAATGATCGCAGCAAATTTGTCTAAGCAAGCAAAATTGACTAAGTAGTAGTATTTGGGCATTCTAAATTGGCATGAAAACTTTGGAGCGGCTGGGGCAATTTTTTTACCCCACTCATATAACGAAAACGACAACCCGTATAATTTTCAATGCTTCATCATGAAAATTATATCATAATAGTAATTTACCAAACTTGGACAATCTCCGGTTTTATTTTGAATCCTACCCCAACAACGAATTTCTCGAAAACTGATCTTTTGTAGAGCAGAAAAATCTAAGTTTTAATATGTGGTGAAGAAAATTGGCCCATATGAGTAATTTCAGACAAAAATGAATTCTACAAAATTTGGCGAATCTATGCGTATTTTTGGGTCCCGCCCTTTGTAACTATTAAACATACATTGAACATTAAATTGCGTTTTCGGCGCGCTTCCCAATAAATGCACACAACAAGATATAGTTTTCTTTTGTTCTATAATAAAAATACGAGTTGTGTTAGAAAACTTGGTGTAGAGTATTTAAAGGCCGCTTTTGCCTGTTTATAATGTTCTTACTTCTTAAATCCGAAAAGTACTTTTGTTGTAAAATTTTCTGCGAGAAAAGTTTTCGAGTATGTTTATAATGACCATCCCTAACGGATATAAAACTATCTAGGAAAAATATACATTTTTCGCTTGTATATACGTATATTAAGCAAGTAAAAGCATTAAAATATGCTTCAAAAATGAATCAAACTTTTTTTTATATAGTTCTTACTTCACTTTACACAACGCTTAATCAACATGAACTCAATACATCTCTATGTTATTTAGAAATGAGTTGATTAAGAAACTTCTTAATTTCTTAACTTCTACTCATGTAACGTCAGGCAAGCAATCTATCATTTTGGGCAGCTAGCATTCCTCGGGCAACTCCAAGTCCATGACGAAGGATGACAGATATATTCATTCTCGAAACGTTTGCAACGCCCAGAAGTAAGCTTCAGAAGCTCCACAAGGTATGTATATATTTTTGAACAGCACTTAATTTTAAATCAATTGAAGGATGTCTGTCTATTTTTCTATGTAACGTCTATTGTTAACAGTCTCCTCCCTACAAAAACGAAACTGTGACACCAAAATTGGCAGAAACATTGGAAATGGTGGTTGATATTGAAAATGCGTCAAATCGGTGGAAATGGGCGCCTACAATACTATGTAAAGTGAGAACAGTGAAAAGTAATGAAACATTGGTTATTTGCTCATTACCCATAAACTATAGACACACACACAGATAAACCTACAAAAATTTGGATGTAAATTTTGTGAAGATGATGTAGTACCTCTACGAAAATACGCAAAATTTTACACGCCTGCTGAATATTATAGTTTATCAAAATTTAATTTTTTTTTCAATGCTTTTATAAGGCGCAGAAGTAAACTGCAAAAACTGGATATATGTAAGTTTTTAGCCAATTACAGCATTTATCTGTCCGTCTGTCCAACTATGTAGCATCTAAGGTAAAGTTTCTCCCGTTCGCAAAAACAAAGATATCGCCTGCAAATTTGCAAAAGGGCTGGAAAATGGCCCAAACAGGTTAAAGAAGACGCCTGCAACACCCACACGTTTATATAACCAAAACTTTCTGTGTCTCTTGCTCGTTGCTAATAAACATATTATACAACGAAGACACGATATAAATTTCCACAAAATTATTCGACAAAAATGAAAATAATCAGCCACGCCCATCAAATATTTTGGAGTGCACAAATTTATATTCTTACTTTTTTCAATCTTTCATAGACTAAGTTGATGAGTACAAAAATTTCGCTCGCAGCGGTGTGT